GGGTTTTGTGAAAGAGAGAGAGGAAGAGGGGGGAGAGGGGGGTGGGGGTGGGGGGGGCGGGGGGAGGCAGCTCAGTGGGGCTGCTGCAACTTGGGGAGAGTGTGAATGTGTGTGTCATGTGTGCATGAAAGGGAGCGCCCCTTCCTGGCTTCTTGAAACAGGATTCCTTCTGGGGTGCTTTGCTTGCGTGTCCCCAGAGAGGCCTCTAGCCAGGAGACTTCAGTTGGGATGGTCTTTGCAACTTCACCAACACCCTCCCAATTCTTAACAGCTTCAGGTGCCCGGGTTCAAGGATATGGGAATGCTCTTTCAATATGTAGCTTCAGTTTTAATTCATCTTCCCGCTCAGCAGCTCAGCATGGAGTCCGCCAAGAGCTTCTTCAGCCAATACCACGTGTTGCAGCGCTTCCTGGTGAGGAAAGACCCTGGGTTGTTACTAGAAAAAGCTTCACTTCCATTTCCTCACCTGAGCAGTTCTCTGTTTAAAACTTTGTGCCGAGATTTGATCTCTCTCCCTCTCCCACTGTGACCACCATGCAGCCCTTCTCTAGGTCTGCAGGCTCTCGTTCTGGCCCTCTAGTTGCCCGTCTGTGATACACCCTTCTGTCCCACAAATACCTCTGACCCCCAGGCTGGAATGGGGGGCTGATAGGAAGTAACTGCTTGCTCATGGTGTCCTCTGGACACTGCTTTTGTGGTGCCGTCGAATGGATTTGTGTGTGGCAGTGGGTGAAGTGACTGCATGAACTTTTCTGTAACCCACTAACTTTTTATTATTAAGGGAGTTTTTGAGAAGCTTTGCTCATAGTATCAGGGCAAGGAGGTGAAAACTGGAGCCCAAAGAAATTCTCTTAGGGCAAGATCATGTTATAATAGAAAATTAAATCTGAGGCAGAAACTGCCACCCCCTTCGAAATATCTAGTCCTCCAGCAAGTAGCATCCTTTTGTAATCTATGACATGGTTTGTGGGTGCTAGGCCCTCAGGGCCAGGGGGATAAACTCTGCCCCTTTGGGTTTCTTGGGGGGAGGGAGGATTAGGGGAGGTACTTGCTGTTAAATTTTGACACTAGAAAGTCACCTTTAAAAAAAAAAGCTGTTTTTCTAGGTGGGTGGAAAGTGAAACTGCCACGTCCTTGTTGGTTTAATCCGAGATCACTCACAACAACACTAGATGTCTGGGTTTTGTTTCTGTCTTTTTATTATTAAAAAAACAATGTTAAGGGGGCAAATGTGGATTAACAGAAGGGATCCCTAGCCTTGTTTTCCTTAGATTTGTTTAGTGTTTTATCAGACCTCTGTTGTAGTTGTAGATGGAAAAGCTTGTGAGAAAAACAAACATCACATGGAGCCTGTAAATGTTTTTGCACAACCTGTAAAGCATTCTTGGAAGTGGCCAGTAAAAAAGGGTTTTACCATTTTTAAAAAAATGTAACTGTGTCATTGTTTACATCTGTAACTTTTTCCTCCCCTGTTCTCATTACAACATTCTGGCAAATATGTAGGCACAGTAGCTTCCAGTTTTAGAATAAATAACCATTTGGATTGAATTCACTCTCTCTCCTGTGGCTGCACTGACGGGTGGAGTGTGTCATCTGGGGGATTGATTTACTTTTGATGCTGCTTCCAGTTCACTGGGTCCAACCAAGGATGGCTTTCCTCTGGGATGGCTGTTATTCCTTCCTACTTCGCCAGCCAGGCCTCCACTCGGGGTTGCGAGCCTACTCAGTGCTTGCTGATGCTAAGAGCTTGAGCCATTGGAATAGAAGAAAATAAGTTATGTCAGATCTCTGGATTTGGCCTAGACTAAAACCAGGTGGATGCTTGAGGTTAAATCTAAGGTCCCATTTATGGCCAAGTAAGTTTACTCATGAGTAACTGCCACTTACGATTAAAGCCTAGTCCTTCATCAGAGGTGTTTGGTGGGGGTTCTGTGAGCTTGGGGAACGAGGAGGTAACTGATTGACAAGCGCACGACTGCAGCCAGCGCTGCCGGCCCTGGTCCTTTCCAACAGGGACTCACCCGGCTGGGTGCGCAGGCCCGCGGGGAGCCCGTGTTTGCGGAGCCGGGACAGGTCCGG